TCATCAGCTTGTTTAAATTCTCCTGTGAGATTATAAGGTGAAGTTTAGAATAAAGCTTGTAAGCACTGCAAGTTTATATATGAAGTACATATAAAAAATGAATCGTTTTTGACCTATCAGAAATGCATGTAAAACGTTTATATAAACCTCCTCCACTAAAAATGAACCTGAGACTGCTCAGGAAATGAGAGGACTGTCTTCTAACAGTATTTTTACTCATTCTATGTTATTTCAGTGCGTATATGATAACAAAATATAAAGAGGTAATTACGAAATAGCAAATTCTGCCATTACCCGGAAAAGAGCTGAGACAGTCTGGAAAGAAGAACCCTTCTTCTTTCCACCCTTCTTGCCACCACCACCAGCCTCTGCAACATTGAAGAAAGGGAAAAGATGCTTTTAACATTGCCTTTGTACAGTACGAGCACGGGAACATGGATTTTCCAGAGCTTACCTGCTTCCCCACCGTAGTTTGCAAAGAGTAAAGCCAACGTCTTCACAGATGATTTCTGGTACAACCCAATGACAGTTTCATTCAGGGGGTCCTTGTTCTTCTCAAGCCAGCCAGTGATATTGTAGTCTACTGTTCCAGCATAGTGTATCAGGGAGAAGTGGGCCTCAACCTTCCCTTTGGTAGGCTTGGGCTTCTGGAAGTTGTTGGACTTGCCCAGATGCTGGTCATAGAGCTTGTTCTTGAAAGAGGTGTCAGTTGCCTTGGGGAACATGCACTCCTCTTCCAGGATGGAGAAGATGCCCATGGGCTGGAAGGTACAGAGCAAGTACAGAGCAAGATGATAATGATGTGAAGCATGTGCTATGAACACCAAAGGTACTGGTGTGTCGCTGATAGCATCTCAGCCTGGAATAAGGGCCTAAGTTTTTCAGGGGCTGTTCTCCTCCAGGGAGCTTGTGTCTGCCTTCCCTTACCTTCCTGCAGCCCATCTTCATGGAACTGGTAAGAACTTCTGTCTGGTTCAGGTTAGAATTGGGAATAGAATTGGAGGGGGAAGTGGTAAAGAGAGAAATAATTGGGCAAATAGCTGCAAGAGGCCCAGTTGTTCTGGGAAATCAGGTGAGACAATATTTATTTCCCAAATTTGTGTGTGGAGTTCTGATTTGAGTCTTCAGAGGAAAAAGGAAAGGAGACTGACTCCAGTTCGTTTTAAGGAAGTCTGTTGGTGGAGTCCAGGCTACCTTTTCCATGCTTGAAGACCAGGTAATGTGGGATAGATGACATAGATTTGAATTTCCTCATTTCTCTTCCCCAGACTAAAATAAATTTCAGTGCAAAATACTTTGTTTAACTGGCACTGAATGGCTGGCCGTGAGTTCTTTCTGAGCTGAATCTGGCTCAGTAACACCACAGAATTCCAAAATACATCGCACACTTGTATGGAAAAGGTACCTTCTCAATGAGCTCAATGCAGGCAGCCAGGTCCATCCCAAAGTCAATGAACTCCCATTCGATTCCTTCCTTCTTGTACTCCTCTTGCTCCAGCACAAACATGTGGTGGTTGAAGAACTGTTGCAGTTTCTCATTGGTGAAGTTGATGCACAGCTGCTCAAAGCTGTTGAACTGCCCAAAGCAAGAAGAGGTGCACAGGTTCTCAAGCTGTGGCAAACACCACATTCTCCTAATGCTGTTTGAAGTTCCCCAGCTGAAACACCACTGCTAATCATACTGTAACAGCGTGTGTTTCCTTTGCAGGACTTCTCTTGTAAACTTTACTGTTCCCAAAGGATTTTATTATTATTATTTTTGAAATGAAACTAAAAGTAACAGTTCTTTTTTACTGTGCTACTCAAAAGCAAATCCTTCAGTCATTCCTGTTGAATCTCCTAAAACTCATAAAGCATTTTGGAGTTTTTTTCTTCAGCCAAAAAGATGAATGTGTGCCCTGGCCTCCAATTTTTAAACACTTGATATCTCCTATTAAACACTCATGTGTTCATTCTTTTGTCCTTTAAACAATTTATACATCTTTATCCTGTTATATGCTTATCAATGGAGCTCCAAATCCTAGTTCTGCTCTAGAAGTTCTTATATAAAATAATTGTAATTATGTTGGGTGTTTTTAATAAATGATACTAAACTTAAACTGTTAAATTATTAAAACATCAAAATTATGTTTGCTACTTCTACAAAAGCAACATGTACTGATAAGCTTCTGGGGATTTTTATCTGTGCTTCAAGATTAAATGAAGGATTTTTTTTTTCAAGAAAATTGCAATTGACTAGCATCCTAAACCTTAAACCTACTTGGAAGTCTTCTGATATACCAATCTCACCCTGCAAGACCAGTCCTCAAACCTGGAACCCTTACATCAAAGATCTCAAAGCCAGCAATGTCCAGGACACCAATGAAGTACTGTCTGGGCTGCTTGGTATCCAGCTGTTGGTTGATGCGAACAACCATCCACAAGAACATCTTCTCATAGACAGCTTTTGCCAGGGCACCAACTGCATTGTTCACCTAAGAAGAGAAGAAAGGACTGGAGTTACCTCCTAGGGTCGAAGAAGAATCCTCAAGTAATCTTTCAAGCCATGTTTCTTCAATCTCCAGATTTTACCTGTGACACATTTTGACCTTTGGTCACAAATTCATTCCCCACTTTCACTCGGGGATAACATAGGGCTTTGAGCAATTCAGCTGAGTTCAGGCCCATCAGGTAGGCAGCCTTGTCAGCCACTACAGAGGGGGAAAGAGAGAGAGAAGCATTCTAGACATTTGTAAAATGTCTAGAATTTGGTCAGTGTGATCAACTCTGCTATTCATGTCCTAGAAATGGAAAAGCATTGGTCTGGTCTCATACAGAAGGTCTGGGAAGGAATGTAAATTCTAGAAGCTATTGATGTCCTTCTGTGAAAACAAGAACACGTATGGCTTGGACAGGAGTAGCTTGAATCTGGAAGTTCCCGGAAGACCCCCCTGCTCTGGAAACACCTGAGGCATGCAGCAACACATGCCTTTTCTGCAGAAAGTGGATTCCTGCATAGCAAAGAATGCAGGATTTTTTTCATCAAAAATACGATTGCATGTCAGGGTGACTTAGTGTTTTAAGGTTTTACAGAGAGAGAGAAAGATATCTTGTGTTGAAGTTGAAGTTCCCCCTTTCAAGCTGTGTGGTTTTGGGGAGTATGCATTGGATAAAATAATGTTATTTCCCATGATCAGGGAAGCACTTCTGTGATTAGATAGACAGTGAACAAAGTGTTTTATGTGATGACTCAGGCCAACAAAGCCTCTCTCTGGAAGCTAACATATCATCTCTGCAAACACATTCTTTGAACAAGACACTTTCTGAATTTGCCAATACCTTCTGTGCCGTCTGGCTCCGCCTGCTCTTCTCGTTGTTTCTGCTTGAACTTCAAGTTCCCATAGTGCATGACAGCCCCCGTCAGCTTGTAGATGGAGGTCTTTTCATCGGCAGTGAAGCCCAGGATGTCAATGGCACTCTGCAGTCAAAAAAATGAAGTAAAAGCATTGCCTAACAACCTTGCCTGTCTCATGAAAAATATTTTCTTTAGACTACTTACATCTGTAGCCATGAGCTCCTCCTGATCATCAATGCTGGGAACGGTGACCTCACCTTGACTCACATAGTGGAAGTCAAAAGGGTTGGTGGTAATGAGGAGCATGTCTGAAAGCAGGAAGATACAAGGCACAGGCTTAGTTTTGCCAACCAGGGAACAGAGGGAAAACTTGCTCAGTGATCATCCTAAGAAGTCATAATGATCCTTCCTACCAATTAGCTCTGGCTTCTTGTTGGAGGTGATCTGATAAAATATGTGGTAGCTTCTTTCTGCCTTGAGCTGGAAAGTGACCCTGGACTTCTCCAGCAGATCTGGCAAGGAGAGCAGGACAGAGTTAGGCACAGAAATGCACACGGAGGTGGGAATGTAGGAAGAAAAGGGATCAGGCCAGGAGAGCCTCTTACAAGTTTCAATGTCAGCAGAAGCCAGTTTGCCTGTGGCCCCAAAGTGGATTCTGATGAATTTGCCCTGTTAAAGAGAACAAGCAGCATTTCAGGCTGCATGGCTTCTTTTGATGTCTCCTTTATGTGGCATACTCATGCTAGGGCCATCCCTTATCTTGTAATGGGAGGGAGAGATTTTGTCCAAAGCAACAACTTACAAAGCGTGAGGAGTTGTCATTCCTCACGGTCTTGGCGTTTCCAAAGGCCTCCAGCAGTGGGTTGGCGCTGATGATTTGATCCTCAAGCGTTCCCTGCAGGATGATAAAGTACTCAGTTACAGCATTTAGCCTGCATGGCAATTACATGCCAAGCATTCAGTCTGTTCTTCCTGACTCACCTGCATTTTGCCAGACGGCTGATCTTCCTTCTTCTTCTCCCCGCTGGCTGCAATTGTTGCAAAGTACTGGATGACACGCTTTGTGTTCACAGTCTTCCCTGCACCGGATTCTCCGCTGTCAAGCCAAAGAGAGAAGCAGAGAACGCGTGGTCAGGCAGGAGGTCCCCTGGCACCGGGCAGCCCCGCAGGGACCTGAGCAGGGCGTGTACGTACGTGATCAGGATTGACTGGTTCTCGCGATCTGGGAAAGAGGCAGAAACAAAGAGGTTATTAATATATATCATGAATATCCTGGATCAAAATATTCCTGGGACTTTTAGAAGACGCAGTGGCAGTATGCAGCTAATTCCTTTCATAAACTGTGCGCCTTCACCCTTAATTCCTTTTGAACATTTTTATGTTTCCAGTTGTAGCTGGGAAGCTGACATGTCAACACTGATGTGGAATGTCATGTAGTATCCATACTTCTTTTTGCAGATATTGTCTTCATATCAAGCCGCTCATTTTCTTTACAAAAAGGGTTCCAACTAAGGAGGTTTTTTGTAGAGTTACTTATTAATTGAACTATCTGTAATGTGAACTGGAGCAGGTGTTTCTCATAAACTTTGTAACAAAGGAACAACCTCTCCTGATTAGTCCATAGACGGCTCTAGAGGGTTTTTCTGTCAGTGGCCAATTGATTGTTGCCTGAAGAAAATCACAAAAGCAACATAAGCATGTAGTAACCTTTTACCAGAATACTCTAAAATACTGAAATTTTTGTACTTCCAGGGCTAGAGTTGACAGTTTTGTGTGTAATAGCTTGGACTGAGTTTGCTTTCCAGAATTTTGTCTGGTTGCTTTTTTAACCTATGCTCAGTTCTTCAATTTTTATCATCCAGTCTGCTCTGGTTTTTAACCACTTACTGTATGAAGGAAAAAAACATGGTTGGTGCTGAGCTTTGTTTTTCATGTACTCTTTCCTTGTCTATTTAACTTCTCCATGACATGCATAATTTTATAAAGGAGCACAAATCATTTCTCTAGTGTTACCTGAGCAGATGTCCTTCCATACCTTTGGGAAACATTTTCATCTATGTCTTGACCTGTTCCATTTCTACTACATTTTTTTTTTAAAAAGGAAGGGCAGAAATGCATGCGGTACACAAGGTGCAGACATTCCTTGGGTAACCACCATGATATGATGTTGTTGTGTGTTTTGGTCTCTATTTCTTGGTCAATGATCTCCATCTTTCAACTTGCTATTTTGTAGGTTTCTGATCACTGAGCCAAAATTTTCGAAGATTTAATAAAGGATATCTAAGACAGAAGCTGTAGTTGTTGGCAATGGGCCCATCTTTGGGGTTTTTTTCCTCTACCCATTGTTTTACATTCTTGTTGACCAGACTTTGTTGCCACATCACTGAATAATAATTTGATCATTTAATATCATAAAGTCCTTCTGAAATTCTTCACTGTTAGACTTCATCTTTACTGACCTGAAGGACTTAGTCAGAAAGCTTGTCATCATTTCCAGATCATTTAAAGAAATGTTGAACAGCAGACGTCCCAGAACACGTCCCAGTACAACTTCATTGATAAAATCTTTGCACTATGAAAACTGAAAAAAACTATTTTTACCATGTCTTCATTATTCTTAACCAGTTCTTTTTGAACCTTCTCAATTCTATAGCTGGTAGCGTATGTAAGCATGAAAAATAATGCTAAGAAAGGCTGCTTTATCAACTGTACTGAAAATCTTTTTTGAATTCAGATAGGTTACCATGATCAGCTCTCCTTTGCTAAAAAAAAGCCAGCAGTTTTGTAAGGCAAGACTTCCCTTTAAAAAAAATGCATCTTTTTTCTTAGTAAGTCACATATACTCACACACTCAGTAATTGCCTTGTTTAAAAATTGCTGGCAGTTCACCTTTTACAAAAATCAAGCTTAATGTTGTCCTGTTCCTTAAAATTGCCTCACAATTCTTTTAAAATTAGTATAACACTTGTTGTTTTCCAGGCAACTTTGCACTATGAAAACTGAAAAAAACTATTTTTACCATGTCTTCATTATTCTTAACCAGTTCTTTTTGAACCTTCTCAATTCTATAGCTGGTAGCGTATGTAAGCATGAAAAATAATGCTAAGAAAGGCTGCTTTATCAACTGTACTGAAAATCTTTTTTGAATTCAGATAGGTTACCATGATCAGCTCTCCTTTGCTAAAAAAAAGCCAGCAGTTTTGTAAGGCAAGACTTCCCTTTAAAAAAAATGCATCTTTTTTTCTTAGTAAGTCACATATACTCACACACTCAGTAATTGCCTTGTTTAAAAATTGCTGGCAGTTCACCTTTTACAAAAATCAAGCTTAATGTTGTCCTGTTCCTTAAAATTGCCTCACAATTCTTTTAAAATTAGTATAACACTTGTTGTTTTCCAGGCAATTTTTGATGAGAATTTTTCTGTAGACTTCCACTGGAATGCCTGGTTGAATTCTGTTTTGGCAATTTGCTAGTGTTTATTTTATTGTTGGGGTTTTTAAGGACACTTCAATCAGAAGTTCCTCTGATGAATCCTGCTGTAAGGAGGAGTTCCAGAAATTAATACTTCCCCCACTGCTTTAAGGTAAACAAATTAAAATCTCATTTAGTTGTTCTGATATGACTTTATATTTTCCAAGTTGTCTTTTTAAATTTTGACTGCATCACAGACTCTACAGACTCATTTTAAGCTCCTTATGTGTCTGAAAAAGAAATAAGCACAAGTTTTCATGTGTGCTGCAAGTTGTTCTCAAAATTTTGCATGCTGCCATGTGTTTTCACAGTTAACTAGCCAGAGTTATGTTTTACAGAAAGTCTGTGTGTGTTTAATAACCTACCTTAGTAGTCTGTGTAGCTGGACTGGCTTTCAAAGAAAGTGCTCTTTGCCAAATTATTTATATTTGTTCTATGCCTCTAAGATCGTGTTTTCCAATAATCTGCATGCAATCTGAAGAGTCTAAGCCATTAGGTAACTCACTTCCAGTGGAAAAGTCTGGGTTTGCATTCACCAAGGACCTACACATCTCTTGAAGGTGCCAGCAAGAGTAAATGTATGATGACTTAGTAAATACTGCCATGATAAGACACACTATCCAAACATCAATTTATTATTGTTCCATTTTCATAGTATTCTCTCCAATTAACCTTCTTACAACTCTGAATACTACAGACTTAAATACAGTTATTGGGGAGGGAACAAGATTTAATTTAACAAATTAAAATATACCTCTGCCTGTTTAATATTTTTCTGACTAATCTGCTCTTTCTTGAAAGTCTGGAGATTTACACAACACTAGGAAAGTTTTCGCTACCTTTCTTTCTTATTGCTTCCATTTATATTACTGAATGGAAAAGAAGAAATTGTTTCTGAGATGGAAGGACAACAAAGTATCAATTTTCCAAACAGGTTTCGTGGTAATGCCTGACTTACTTAGACTGGTTCCTGAGTTTTCGTAGAACCACCATATGAAACATTGGCTTCAATGTTGAATCTCATTTCCCTTTTCAGCCAATCTAATTTACAGAACTCCACCCTAGTGACATCACTCCTGCAATACAAATCATTCAAAGAGCAATCCTCTCAACTAAGAAAAAAAAGAGGGCTTTACAGTTTATCCACATTTCTTTGAAGAAAAACCTGACAAAGTATTCAGCATTAAAACATATCCTCCCAAATATCTTTGGACACTAAATTCTAACACTGATTCTAATATCATCTCAATGATGGTGTGCAGTAAAGAAAATGATGAGAGGACATCCACACGCACCCCCAAAACCATTAACCAGAAATAATTTTCAGTGAAAAAACTTTTTTTTCTCCTCTGCAAGTGTTCAAAACAAAAAAATATTAAAGAAAAGCAAGCCACTCACCAGTCAGCATGAACTGATAGGCATTGTCAGAGATGGAGAAGATGTGTGGAGGGGCCTCCTGGCGCTTCTTGCCTCGGTAGGCCAACACCACCTCCGGGTTGTACACCGGCAGCCACTTGTAGGGGTTGACAGTGACGCAGAAGAGACCCGAGTAGGTCTGCGAGGAAGGGAGGCAGCACGTTGGCTTCCACATAGCCTGGCAGAGCAGTTCCTCCAGCTACCCAAAGGAAGACTGCTGCTGGTACTTACATAGATCATCCAGGCTGCGTAACGCTCTTTGAGGTTGTACAGCACAGCGGGTTCGTGGAGGTGGGTCATCATGGCCATGTCCTCGATTTTATCATACTTGGGAGGGTTCATGGAGAAGATTTGATCTTCCTTCACGGTCAGGGTCTGTCAGATGAAGAAAGAGATGCATGTATGTCAGCTAAGAGATGAGACTGGGAATTACACGCAGTTTTTAAGCCTTGGTTTTTACTCACTTCTCCTGCTTCAGACTTGACAGTGACCTTCCCAGATTCCCTGCTCTGGATTGTCCCTTTCACAAAGGATTCCTTAGGATGCACCACAAAGACAGATGTCTTTGCATCAAAAGGCTTGTTCTGGGCCTCGATTCTCTCCTTCTCTGACTTGCGGAGATAGGGAGCCGCCTCCCCAAAGGCGGCCATCTCAGAGTCTGGAGAGGCCATGTCTGCTCCTTACTGAAGGAATGTCAGCAGAGAACCTTGTGGGAGAAAAGAAATGTAGCATCAATAGATCATTAATGTACCTTGCTTGCAAGGACACCTTTTCCAGTTTTTTAAAATTAAGCACACAGTAGAATTGCTAAAACTAGCAAAAATAGCCTTCCTCCTGCTTAATGATTTAAACACCAAAGAGAAAAATCTTGTTTTCATCCTTGAATAATACAGAATAACCTTTTAGAAATTCCTTCATGTTTTTTGTGTCTTGTGACACTGCACAGATTGTACAGCTTATACAATGTTATATTTGAGAATATGAATTCTATTAAAGGAACCTTCTTATTTTATGTAAAATTCAAAAAAAGGTATAAGATATACAGATGCCTTGAAAGCAGATGGAAAACCTTATCTGTAAACCCATTTCAGAGGGAAGAATATACTGCACAATTTGCAATAAAGCACACTTACCTTGAAAGTTTTCTTGGAGACAAGGCAGGGTGCTGCAAAGACACTTTTATAGAGTCTGGTTGGCAGATGGTCTTGATTCCTCCTCTTTCTTTGGTCAAAATATTTTTTGGCAAACATTTTTTGGCAAAGCATTGTCTGGCAAACTTAACTAAGGGCATAATTGTCATTTGATTTGACCAGATATATTTAGAAATGTTTTGTATCTTACCAATGATGTGAATGTATCAACCATAAATAATTTGACAAGAGACTTAAGGAGAGAATCTCAATTAGTCAAAGAACTTGGAGAACTTGGAAGTAGGGTTTATGGATTCTCTTGCTGCATTTCCAGTGATTTCCTCCTGGACTCAAGGCAGATTTTTATTGCATGTCTGTGTTGCAACCATTCCAGTTTCATTGTGCAGATCACATTAATGTTTTCCACAAGATGTTCTGAGGCTAACAAAGAAATGCATTAAGTAAATAAATTTTGTGAAAAAAGCTAGTGTTCTTTGAAATAAGAGAAACAAAATGTATTACAATCTAAATTCCTAAATACAACATTCTTGGGAACTGAGATACAGCCCAAAACAAAGGAACAATTACGTATTTTTCTAAGCATTCCTGTTGAAAGACATGGTATACACAAAAATGCATTAGGTGCAGAGCTGGGTAAGTAGAAATGTGTAATATTTAGTGACTAGCACTAAAGTAATTAAGAAAGTTTTTACTGTACCTCCACTTTTAGTACAGATTTTCAAGAACATGATAGAGCCAAAACTGCAAAGTAACCTTCTAAACACCTTAAGCCTGTTTCCTGCATATGTACCTGCTCTCAATCCATATCAATCAATGTCCTCAACCAAGTCAGGAAGCAGATGAGGGTCCCCACAGCCCTTCATTACCTACAACTCAAAAAACCCACCCCTCCACCCAAACACAACTCTACACACAATCACACACGGAGCATACATCAGAGATCCTCTGCACTCTGATACATCCTCAGTCCAGCACGCCCATCCCATCACAAATGTCTTGCGCATTTGCACATTCATAGAGTTCCAGCAACAAAGGCTATCAACACAGTGCTGCCTACAGCAGAGCATTAGAGGTGGCAGGCAGGCCTGTACAATGGTGATACCCTGAGAAAGGGGGAATTTGTCTGTAGTCCCAGAGAGTGACTGATCTAGTTCTAGGAAAAGGGCACTGTCACTTGAGCTGCTTTAAACACAGTCAGATCCAAACATGCTCTTCCCCTGGTCATTGGCATTTTGGTTATTAAAAGAGCTCAGTGTATGAAGCTCGGTGAATAACACAAGGGCAAGGTCAGAAAAACGATGCCTGTGATCTAAGGTAATATCCAGTGCCAGGCACGGGCCCATCCGTGAAGAGCTTGTTCCAAGGAGGACTCTGGCACTGCAGCACCCACTTTCCTGGAGTTCAAACCCAGAGCTCGCCCCTGGGCTCCCTGCGCAGGGCATGGGGAGGCCGATGGAAACATCCTCTGTTGTGCCCAGGAGGAGCCCGGAAACAACCACTGGGAAACAGTGAGTGCAGGGGTGCGTCTGAATTCCTGCTCTCTGACTGGGCAATCTCTGACTCCCATGGACATGCAAAGTTAGACGACAGAATCACAGAATCACAGAATGGTTTGGGTTGGAAGGGGCCTTAAAAAGATCATCTAATGCAACATCCCTGCTGTGGGCAGGGAGATCTTTGACTAGATCAGGTTGCTCAAAGCCCTATCCAACCTGAGCTTGAACACTTCTGGCAATGGGAAATTCCAAAATTCTGGGGCCAATCCGTTTGAGTGTCTCACCTGCCTCATCTTAAAAAACGTCTCCTTTATAGCCAACCAGAATCTACCCTCTTCACTTTAAAATCTTTGCCTCTCGTCCCATTGCTATGGGCCTTGGTAAAAAGTCTTTCTTCATCTTTCTTCTAAGCCTCCTCTATATGTTGAAAGGCTGCAATATGGTCCCCCCAGAGCCTTCTCATCTCCGGACTGAACAGGCCCAACTCTCTCAGCCTTTCTTTGTAGGAGAGGTGGTCCAGTCCTTGGATCATTTTTGTGGCTCTCCTCTGCTCTTCCTCAAGCAGGTCCATGTCTTTCTTGTCCTGGGGGCCCCAGAGCTGGATACAGTACTCCAGGTGGGGGTCTCATGAGAGCGGACTAGAAGGGGAGAATCACCTCTCTCTGCAGGGCTGCTCTCAATCCAGTCATCCCCTGTATATACTGGTAGTGGGGATTGCCCCGAGCCAGGTGCAGGACCTTGCACTTGGCCTTGTTGAACTTCATCAGGTTCACATGGACCTGCTCTTCAAGCCCATCAAGGTCCCTCTGGATGTCACCCCTTCCAACCAGTGTATCAACTGCACACTCAGCTTGGTGGTGTCTGCAATCTTGCTGAGCGTGCACTCACTTCTACCTTGTATAGAATTGTAGAATAGAATCATAGAATGGTTTGGCTTGGAAGGGACCTCAGAGACCATCCAATTCCAAACCCTCTGCCATGGGCAGGGATACCTTCCACGAGATCCGGTTGCTCAGAGCCCCATTCAACCTGGCCTTGAACATTTCCAGGGAGGGGGGCATCCACAGCTTCTCTAGGCAACCTGTTCCAGTGTCTCACCACCCTCAAGGTAAAGAATTTCTTCCTAATGTGTAATCTAAATCTACCCTCTTTCAGTTTAAAACCTCTGCCTCTTGTCCTATCACTACTCTCTGACAAAGGGTCCCTCCCCATCTTTCCTGTAGGCCCCTGGAAAGGCGCTGTAAGGTCTCCCCAGAGCCTTCTCTTCTCTAGGCTAAATGACCCCAAGTCTCTCATCCTGTCCTCACAAGGGAGGTGCTCCAGCCCTTGGATCATCTTTGTGGCCCTCCTCTGGACCCACTCAAGCAGGCCCATGTCTTTCTTATGCTGGGGACCCCAGAGCTGAACACAGTACTCCAGGGAGGGGTCTCACGAGAGCAGAGTAGAGGGGGAGAATCACCTCCTTTGACCTGCCGGCCACACTTCCTGTGATGCAGCCCAGGATGTGATTGCCTTTCTGGGCTGCTAGTGCACATTGTCAGCTCATATTCAGTTTTGCAACCACCAATACCCCCAAGTCCTTCTCCGCGGGGCTGCTCTCAGTCCACTCTTTGCCCAGCCTGTATCCATGTTTGGGATTGGCCCAGTCCAGGTACAGGACCTTGCACTTGGCCTTGTGGAACTTCATGAGGTTTGTACAGGCCCACCTCTCTAGCCTGTCTAGGTCCCTCTGGATGGCATCCCTTCCCTCAAGAGTATCAACCATACCACTCAGCTCGGTGTCATCTGCAAACTTGCTGAGGGTGCACGCAAACCCATTGCCCATGTCCCCAACAAAGGCGTTAAACCCTGAGCAATCCCCCTCATCACTGGTCTCCACCCGGACATCGAGCCATTGACCGCAAATCTTTGAGTGTGATCATCCAGCCGATTCCTTATCCGCTGAGTGGTCCACCTGTCAAGCCCATGTGTCTCCATTTTAGAGACAAGGATGTTGTGTGGGACAGTATCAAATGCTTGGCACAAGTCCAGGAAGATGACATCAGTTGCTCTTCCGTTATCCACCAATGGCTGTAACCCCATCGTAGAAGGCCACCAAATTTGTCAGGCACAATATGCCCTTAGTGAAGCCATGTTGGCGGTCACCAATCACCTCTCTGTTCTCCATGTGCCTTAGCATAGTTTCCAGGAGGATCTGCTCCACGATCTTGCTGGGCACAGAGGTGATACTGACGGGCCTGTAGTTCCCCCGGCCTTTCTTTTTTCCCCTTTCTAAAAATCGGCGTTACGTGTCCCCTTTTTCAGTCACTGAGAACTTCACCAGTGTGCCACGACTTTTCAAACACGGTGGAGAATGACTTAGCAACTTCATCTGCCAGTTCCCCAGGGCTCTTGGATGCATCTCATCAGGTCCCATGGACTTGTGTGCACTCAGGTTCCTTAGATGGTCTCGAACCTGATCTTTTCCTACGGTGGGCGGTATTTCATTCTCCCAGTCCCTGACTTTGAATTCTGTGAATCGGGCAGCATGGCTAGAGCACTTACCGGGGAAGACCAAGGCAAAGAAGTTGTTGAGTACCACAGCCTTCTCCATGTTGGTTGTAGCTAGGTCTCCTGTTTCGCCCATCTGGGGGGCACAGTTTCTTTCCTCTTCCTTTGTTGTCCTCTGTACCTGATGAAACCCTTCTTGTTACTTTTCATGGCCCTAACCAAGTCAAGCTCCAGCTGTAGCTTGGCTTTCCTGATCCCTTCCCTGCACACTCGGGCCATGTCCCTGTAATCTCCTCAGGAGGTATACCCTTGCCTCTGCATTTTGGGTGTGTGTTTTGGTTTGGCTAAGAAGTCTTGACTTAGGCAAGCTGGCCTCTGGCCTCCCCTGCCCGACTTCTTGCACATTGGGACTGGGAGCTCTTGCACCCTAAGTAAAACTTCTTTAAATACCTCCCAGCTCTTGTTTGCTCGTGTATCCTTCCTTCCTTCCTGATACTTTAATTTGTTTCACAGAGCGGATTTCCTACTCACAGG